AAGAAGCTGTAGTTTGAAGTCAACATGAATATGTAGTTCCAACAACTGGCTGCCAGTTGTCCCAGAACAAACTCTCCTACACAGTGGTGTACAGCTGGGGTGTGTCCCTCCCTTTTCTGGGATCCTATTTCCTTGCCTCTAAAGGGGGGTGGAGGGCTTGAACTAGATCTGTGGCCTTTTGGACTACAGAAGGTCCCAAACAGGTATGGGAGGAAAGCCCCCCAGGGATGGCTTTATAGATTTGGTTTCTGATAAGAATTTATATAAACCAGCTCTGTGGCTTCGAAAACGACTAAACAGGGTGACCTCTAAAGCCACATTCTATGACTTCTCTGGCCAGTGGCTTGGGCTTTATTGCACAATACAAGTTGTTACATGTCAGCCTAGATAACCAGTACCCCTTGGCAATTCTGTAATATCTTTTAACACAAAAGTTCTTGCCCTTTTTTCCAGCCCSGCCCATTCTCTAAACCCTCCCTGATCCACTTTTTAGGAAGACCAGGGAGACGTTTCAGGGCAAGTCAGAATCAAGCTCCAAAATCAGATTATCTTGCTCCACCTAGGTTCTAGCACTTTGGAGCTGGGAGCCATGGCTCTATTTTTTTTTTTTTTTTTGGGGGGGGGGCAGGAAAGTACTGGGGATTGCACTCAGGGGCTCTGGACTCCTGAGCCACATCCCCAGCCCTGTTTTGTGTTTTATTTAGAGACAGGGTCTCACTGAGTTGCTTAGCGCTTTGCCATTGCTGAGGCTGGCTTTGAACTTATGATCCCCCTGAACTGCTGGGATTATAGGTGTGCCCACCAGCACCTGGCCTGGCTGCGTATTTTTTGCTCATGGAAGYGACCCAGAAGAGAAGGGAAATCGATGATGCAGGAGAAAGAGGAGTTTAAGGGGAACAGTGCTGGGGAAGCAGTTGGCCTTCCCTGTCAGGGACAGTCCCTCTCTGCAAGAAAAGGACAGGCAGAGGACGAGGGGCTCCCGCCCTGGGGGTGCTGTTGGTGGCAGCAACAGGAGCTCCTCTGCCCCTGTTTCTATTTTCTTGATGAATTTAGCTGAGAATGAAGAGGATGCAGAGAGCCTTGGAAATCTGAGGCTAGAAAGAAAGGAAAGAGAATCCTGGGAAACAGGAGTGATTGGACTAGGRAAATGCCCCAGAACCTTCTGGCTGTGCTGAGCCCTCACTTGGGACTCGTGCCCATAAATGTAAAGTGAGAGGCCAATTCCTGTGATGTGGGTTTTCTCAGGCTGGAGACAGGCAGGAAGACAGTGGTGTGACGGGAATGAGGCTTTGCTGGGGCAGGGCCACCCGGGGACTGGGAAGTCAGAGAGTGCAGGGGACCTTGGCTAGGAAGCCATCATGGCCCCTGYGGTCTAAGCTGGATACCAGGGAGGTGAGCACTTGAATTTGACTGCACTCACTCCCTGCTCCTGCTGTCAGGGAAGGGGAARTCAGTGAAACTTGAATTTTTGTGTTTGTTTCAAACAGTCTCTGACCCCAGGCCTAGGGGCACTCATAAAAGGAACAGATGCCTTTCAGTAAACCCAAGACAATCCTTTGTACTTGACCTGTGGTTACCCTCTGAGGTTGGATCCTAATCACCATAGGCAGTTTAGCGGTATTAAAACTAACCATATTAGGGCCTAGGGATGTGGCTCAAGCAGTAGCGCGCTCGCCTGGCATGCGTGCTGCCCGGGTTCGATCCTGGGCACCACATACAAAACAAAGATGTTGTGCCCCGATAACTAAAAAATAAATATTAAAATTCTCAAAAAAAAAAAAAAAAAACTAACCATATTAAAATTGGTGAGTGACCGGAGCACAATGGCATCCGCCTGTAATCCCAGCAACTCAGGAAGCTGAGGAAGGAGGATTGCAGGTTTGAGGCTAGCCTCAGCTACTAAGCAAGAACCTCAGCATCTTAGTGAGACTCTATCTCAAAATAAATAAAAATCAAAAGGACTGAGCCTCTGTGGAAGAGCATCCCTGGCTTCAATTCCAAGTACTGGGGAGGAAAATGGCAAAGTGAACTATGAACTATGGAAACCTAATTTAAAATAACTTGTTTACAAATAACACGTTCTTTGCTGATGCAAACACACCTTGAAAACACAGGAAATCTCTTATCTTTTATCCCCTGAACCTTATATATTATCAGAAAGCTTCATAGTGTCTTTTTATTATTTATTTATTTTTTTTAAGAGAGTGAGAGAGGAGAGGGGGAGAGAGAGAGAGAGAGAGAGAGAGAGAGAGAGAGAGAATTTTTAATATTTATTTTTTAGTTCTTGGCGGACACAACATCTTTGTTGGTATGTGGTGCTGAGGATCGAACCCGGGCCGCACGCATGCCAGGCGAGCGCGCTACCGCTTGAGCCATATCCCCAGCCCTTCATAGTGTCTTGAAGACTTTTTTTCTTCTTTATAATGAAGTCATAGTTCCTACTGCAAAGTAGTGAAGATTAAATGAGACAATGCAGATAAGATAGTTAACACAGTATTTGGTATGTTAGTTCTTATTCAATGTTACCTTTTATTTATCATCATCATCCCCATTTCTATGTAAGTCAACAATAGAAGCATGACATGAAATGTACCCTTTTAGTCTGCTCAAAAAATCCTCCCCTTCTTTCCTCCTGCTAATAAGCAGAACTTTGATTTTGTTGAGGGTAACGGTGGTTAGCTTCTCTTGAGTATAAACTGGGTCATGAGGCTCAGTTCTGGTCAATAAAGTATAAGCAGGAATTGTTGGTGTTCCTTACATATAAGGGGTAGATGGTGACTGAGCACCATGTACCTTTTGCACCCTGTTCCTATTCTTTCTCTTTTCCTGGGATATAGATGGGACACCTGCTGCTCCAGTAGCTATCTTGTGACAACAAGGCAATCTGAATATAAACTCCAGAACAGAGCTGATGAAGACAAAACAGAAGCTTGGATGGAGACTGAGCTGCCATACTAGTCTTGAACTCTATTTTTGATTTCTCATTATTCAAAAATAAACAAACAAACAAATAAATCTATCTCCTAATTTTATTTAGACCTGTTTCCTCTTCTATAAAATAAAAAGAATAACAATAATATAGCTTATAAATTTGTTGTGAGGATTAAATGGGTTAATATATGTGACTTAAAAAAAAACAAGGCTGTGCACAGTGGTGCACACCTGTAATTCCAGAAACTCAGGAGGCTGAGGCAGGAGGATCTCAAGTTTGAGGTCAGCCTCAGCAACTTAGTGAAGCCCTAAACAACTTAGGGTGAAATAAAAAACATAAAGTTCTGAGAATGTGGTTCAGTGGTAAAGTACCCCTGGGTTCAATCCCCAGTACCAAATAAATAAATAAATAAATAAATAAATAAGGAAGGGTCAGGCACAGTGGTACATGTCTATGTTCCATTGACCTGGAAGGCTGAGGCAGGAGGATCACTTGAGTTAAACCCAGTTTGGGCAGCAGAGCAAGACATTCTCCTTCTTATTTTTTGCAGTGCTGAGAATGGAAGCCAGGCCCCAATGCATACTAGACAAGCACTCTACCACTGGGCTACAATCCTTGCCTCTTAAAATAACAATAACTGAAAGCTATGAACAGGATGGCCTCCAAAGCCATAGCCTCCCACTACATCTTGGATCGCCATCCTCGCCCTTTGGGTAGAAGAATGCCTGGCATCTATGTTACCGGGCTGGGTGGTTTCTCAAGTTCTCCATCAGAAGAATCGGATAAAGATCCATTCCCCATAGGACAGACTCTTCATTGGGATTTCTTGTTAGAGAAAAGAGACACAGCATTGACCTTGAACGTGTCTARATAATTCTGGACAAAGAAGGGAGCTGGTTTTTCTTGCTGTGTGAGGACTGTTGGGGTGGGCTGGAGGCTAGAGATTCTAATTGGCTTTGGGCACGTTTTCTAATGCAGGTCCTAGGCAAGTATAATTTCATACTTGTCTAGTATGCTTGGAGAGAGAGGGGGTCCATCCGGAGGTGCATAGTCTGTCTTTGCCCTGTGATAAGGATGTGTCGCTGCAGCTGCTAAGAGAACACATAGTTGGGGCGTGGAAGAAAATGCAAGTCGTGCCACCAAGAAGTAAAGGGCCCTGGGAATGTGCTGTGTTGGTGGCCCTTTTCTGTCCTTTGTGTTGTTCCTTGGATAGCCTCCATGGTGCACCTGGCTTCTGAGGCTCATGGGCTGAGAGTGAGAAGGGAGGGAGGGGTACCCCTCTCTCTTAGTAGCCGGCAGCTAGTAGCTAAGGTCCTGGGGTGCATTCGCCCTTGGAAGGAGCTGTGCCCTTTAGTTCTCCGTGTTAGCTAACAGGATCAAGACTATTATTCTTCCAGGATTTTGTTGCTAGAAATTGAACTCAAYTGATAGTTGATACAGCCACTATGAACCCATTATGTCCCATTGTCCCATTTAAGGAACACCTAAAAACTTAAATTAAGCAACAAATTTACCACTTATGGTTACTTTGAAGTAACCYTGGTTTTAGAATTCTGTTGTTTAGAGAAAAGTAATAGGTGAATGATTAGTGATAATTAATAACAGTAATAAAATTGATAACCATAGTCATATTAATAATTAATGATTATTTAATAATTATATCAATGAACATTATATCATTAATATTAGTGATGATGAATTATATAATAAGCTGCAGGCTATAATTTCAAATGCATTTTAATTTACCTGTATCAATGTCATTGAAATATTCATAGAATTTAAAACTTGGGACTTCGGGGCTAAAAATTATATTTATTAAACTATTTAATGGCCAGGGAAGATATTTTTCTTTTCATCTTTTTATTGAAAAATATGGGACACTTCTAGAATTTGCCATCAATCTTGGGTAGGAGCTAAGCTAATCTTCTCTGTATAGTTCCAACTTTAGTGTATGTACTGCAGAAATAAGCACGGGAAGACATTTTTTATAAATATGGTTGGGGAAAACGACAAAACTGTACATGTAGTATGATTTGAATTTTAACAATTATGTAAGTGTACAGAAATACATCCAAAACACATATTAGTAATTAGCTCTGCGAATATGATCACAGGTGATTTTCTTTTTCTTTAAATTATTCATTCCTTCTGGGCACAGTGGCACACACCTGTAGTGCCAGAACTCAGGAGACTGAAGCAAGATTGCAAATTTGAAGCCAGCCTCAGCAACTTAGCATAGGCCCTCAGCAATTTAGCAAGACCCTGTCTCAAAAAAAATTTTTAAAGTAATAATAATATAAAGGGCTGGGGATGTAGCTCTGGGGTAAAGCACCCCTGGTTTAATTCCCAGTACCAGAGGGAAAAAAAATTGTTTTTAATTCCCCAAATCTTAACAATAACCATATAATACTTATATCTAGGAAAAATCTTATTTTGAGACTTAGGGCATCACTARGTTGCTGAGGCTGGCTTTGAACTTGAGATCCTGCTGTCTCAGTCTCCAGAGCCACTGCCATTACAGGTATGCGCCACCACATCCAGCTACAATTCTGTTTCCTTGCCACTAAAAAACATGTAACAAAATACCAGAGAAGATTAGCTCAGCAAGCCCTTCCTGACAGCCCTCTGTTTTAGAAGTTAAAAACAAAACAAAGAAACCCATTACCATTTCCTTCATATTGCAATCTGCAACTACTTTAGTTGTTTACCTGCTTATTTTCGGTTATCTATCCCCTAGCAACATAAGTTGCATGCTGTTTATCACTGAATTTCTGGCGTCTAACATAACATATGACAATTAAAAGGTAACAATAAATATTTTAATAAATTACGTGCCAAAGCTTCTGGGGAAACATCAATGTAGAAACAATAGCTCTGCTACAGAGCTCTATACCACCTGTGTCAAGTCACTTAATTGCCTTGGATACTAATTGATGCAAAAATAATTCTTTTATGGGCCTTTATCTAAAACAAAAGTTCATTTAGTTAAAACTTGAGTCCYTGTTATCTGCTTGGTCCTGGCATGCCAGGGATTTTCTAACAAGAGGCCCCTCCCTCGTGTCTGATAAGAGTAGGAATAATTCTCAGGAGTTCTCCAAAGTGAAAAGTAGACTAAATATTATTTGCATTTTTCATGCTCATATTCTCCACAAATGCAGAATGGAGTTTTTCAGAGGCTACATATGATGTTTGATGAAGGGTAGTGGAATGTGTGTTACCATGGCTTAACACATTCATTTTAAATTCAAATTCGGTAATTGTAGATACAACAAACCCTTAACATGGGGGGAGGGTGTGCTGGGGTGTAGCTAAATAGTAGAACCCTTGTCTTGGGTTCAAGTCCCAGAACTACAACCAACCACCAGAAAACAAAAACAACAAAAAAAGAAACCTCTTTGGGGTGTTCCGGGTGTGAAGGAGCCCAACAAGTTTGAGAACCACTACAACACAGGAACTTTGCACACCCAGGAAGCCATTAGCAGCCAATACAGTCTACATGATAACAGAGATTAGAACGTAAGGACTGGTCGGCCTAACGTCAGGAGGAAACTGCGGGGATAGGTGGAGACGACMGAGAAAGGTGTGGGCTGCACGCAATCCAGCACCGCTGCGCGGGGAGTGTGCCCAAGACTGCAGACAACAGCATTCACCTCCTAAGTTCAATACACTCAATACAAGCGATAAATTTCGTATCTTGGTGGTCAGGAACCCAATAAAAGCCTAGGCATAACAGGGCAGTCTCTCTGAATTTTAAAGCTAAAACCTCTGTCCATTTAGTAATAACTGTAAAATTTGGCCTAGGGGCCAAGCCATTTGTTTCCTGGGGGAGGAGAAGGCGGTGCAATCCAGTAAAGGCGGGAAAAAGAATCACTAAAGAAAGAAAGAAAGAGAGGGCTGGGAAGGGAGGGGAAGAGGCTGAGCTAGAAGCCAATGAACGAGACCGAGGCTGCAGCTCGCGCTCCAGCCCTCCGCATGCGCAGGCGCACGCCTGGTAATCTCGCGGGAAAGAACCGTTGCCGGGCCCGGCGTTGCGCYGTGGTGGAAAGAGGAGTGGAGGCGGGAGTGAAGTCTCGCGAGAAGAGGGTGGTTGCCGTAGCGGAGTCCTCTGGCTGTGTGTGTGTGTCTGTGTCTGAGGAGGAGCCGCCGCCGGAGCCGCGGACGGTTTGCTGAGCCCGTTACTGCCTCTGGCCAAGACTCGCGCCGCCGTCATGTCTCGCTACCTGCGCCCCCCCAACACGTCTCTGTTCGTCAGGAACGTGGCCGACGACACCAGGTAGGTACGGGGCAGGTATTCCGGGCCTGCGCGAGGAGGCCGCGGGCGCACGCCGAGGACCGAGCGGCGGCGGGCCGGGGAAAGGGCGGGGTGAAGATGGCGGGTCCCGCGCCCGCTTTGGCGCCCGAACTAGGCCGCGCCGAGCGAGGCGGCGCCCTGGGCCGTCGGGCCGGGCCGGGCGGCCGCAGGGCGCGCGGGATGTGCGGGCCGCGTGGCGGCCCGGCCCCTCCCCCGCCGCGGTGGGCCTTCAGCCCGCGCCGTCCGCGCGGCCTGCCCGCCGCCCGCTGCCTGGGAGCTCGGTTCCGCGGGGTGCACGCCCCCTCGCTCAGCAGCCGGGTGGGTTGATTTATTTTAATTAAAAAAGAAAATTGCATTGAAATAACGGGWTTGAGGGAGAGGAAAGCATTTGCTCTCCATTTTCCCCCGCCGCTGTTGTGCGTGTATTTGTAGTGTTTAGAGACTGGGCTTAAATAGGCTTTGTTTTCAGCAACCCCCTTAATTGCTTCGAATTGCCTAAAGAATTTTTTTGGAGAAGCTATTATTACATGAGGATGTTTAATATTTGACAAATAACCTGCAAACAAAGTGTTTTTCGGTTAGCGTTTTTTGATTTACTTTCTTCTGTCTTAAAAATGTAGGGGAGAAAAGCAGTAATTCTTTTAGCATCTAGAAGAATCTCGCCTTTGTCATTTTCACAATGTTTAAAAGTTGTTTTTATTTGAGGCTTTGTTTCTGCCCCCCACTCACTTTATCTACAACTAATTAATTGACTCACTATAATTTGGGGGTAATTTTGTTCGATATTTTCCAGAGTATTAGAGTTGATTTGATACCGTTTAAAAAAAAAAAAAAAGAAAAGAAAAACCAAAAACCCAGAGCCTTACCGCTCTACCTTTTGTGAAAAATGAAGGCTGTAGATTTAAGAATTCTGATTGTTTCCTTACATGTCTTTTCTGTTGTGATGTAAAATAATAAATGGACTCATAAGCTGCATTTATCTTTCCAATGCTTGGATCCTGGCTTTCCTTTATCAAAAAGATATTGCCATTACATTTTATGTATTACAGTTGGCTTTTTTTTCTTCTTCTTTTGTGGTGCTGGGGATTGAACCCAGGCCCTTGTGCATGTGAGGCAGGCACTCTACCAACTGAGCTATGTCCCCAGGTCCTACAATTGGCTCTTAATGTCAAAATTTAGAAAGCTTGTCTGTTTCAGGTCAGTTAGGGCAGGGATACAACTGAGACCCAAAGGTCACACAGTGTTACTAATAACAGTTCCTTATGTTAAGAATATTGGCAAATAATTGGGCATGAACATAAAAATTTGAGTTCTTTTCATGATGTTTTAGGTCTGAAGATTTACGGCGTGAATTTGGTCGCTATGGTCCTATAGTCGATGTGTATGTTCCACTTGATTTCTACACTCGTCGGCCAAGAGGATTTGCTTATGTTCAATATCCTTTCTTCAGATGCTGATTAGTGAGGGGTGTTGAAGTTTGAAATTCAAGTTTATGTAAGTGGTAACATCTAAAAAGCAGTTTATTTTTGTCCTCTAATAAATGTCTTATGTCTTCAAATTTTTGAAAATTAATTCTGACTCACATTGCTCTTACTATTTTCTTATTAATCCAAAAATAGTTAAATATTTAAATTCCCATTCATGATGCTGAAACTCAAATCAGTGATTATAATGTGTGATTTAAATTTGAATACACTCTGGTTGCTACCACCTTTAATGTAAGTCAAATTAAAAGTTAATATGTTCTTGTGCTTAGCAATTAAAGTTTAGTATTCTTGTTTGTTAATTTGAATCACTTGATCAAAAACAAATTGTATAAAAATGAGGTAAACTTCTTTAATATTGTCCCCTAATTTGCTGTCCTCTGTTGTTACCTCAGAATGTAAAGCTGTACAGTTATGGCGACCCCAAAGAGAAAGCATGAAAGAACCTTTAGAGTAGAATTCAACACTTAAGGCAAGTAGACAAGCCAAAGACCTCTTAAGGATCAGGCTTGAAGAGAAGGGAGAGTTTGGGAAAAGAAAAAATACAGAAAAGCTGGAAGAAGGACAAGCCTAATGGGAGACAAAGCCTCGCTTTATCTACAAAGGGGGAAAAGGTTGTTTTTCAAAGTTAAAGATAAAGCCATCTGTCATATTTGGCCAAGCATCTCATGACAAGTCCTTCTGACAAGCACTTAAAGAGTTAAAGGTCAAGATGAAGTTGAATGATGGCCAAGATTAAAGGAGTCATACCTGATGTATCCTACAGAATAACTTTTCCTTTTTCTTTTCTTTTTCTTCTTTTTTTTTTTTTTAATGGTTTATAAGCAGTTAATTTTCAAAAGTTATTTTGGTTTGGTCTAGTGACAAAACCTGTAACTTGATTTGTGTGGGCCTTTGATGTTGTGATTGTGGTCTTGTATAAATGCACTCTCTCTTAGCTTATCAAGTTAAAGTGTAACCAGATGTAACATTGTTAAGCTTAAATTYGGCATATTTTGGTTTTGGACCAGGTGGTCAGAGGCTCTTTGAAGTAGCATGAATTTCTGGGCTCAAGCCACAGAGCCCTGCTTAAAAGGGAGACAAGTGCATGCATTGGGAACTACCTAGAAACAGCTCTGGTGGTCACATACTGTCAGATCCACTGGAAACACCTTATAGATTTTTAAATGGCTTCTGGGAACATACAAATTCCTAACTTCTGGAGCTTAACTCTGAAGCTTGCAGGCCCTGCACTGCTTTAGCACATATGATCAGTTAGCCTTGAATGGGTTGCAGAAGGCCTTCTCCCTAGTATGGATACCTAACCAGGATGTATGGGAAATCTATCCTTGACCCAGAGTTTCAGGTGACTTTGCTTCTTCCCTTCAGTGAAATCATCTCCCTGCAAAAACAAAGGTTTGGGCTGTGGACTTGAGGTCAGGAAGAATTCTTACTACTAAAATATTCAGTAAGTCCCTTAGAACTTTCTAGTTAGAGTCCTAGTAAGTATTAACAGGGAAAAGCCAAAGCTACTCCTGAAGGGCTAGCAAGTGTGGAACTTAGTTGCAAAACTGTTAAAGAGAAGATATATCTATATATGGATGGCTTGGTAAATAAAGGTAGTGATGCATTCTGACTTATAATTTTGATCTGATTTTACGTGGCTTGGGATGGTGTGAAAACCAAGAACAGCAGTACTTTTGACTCAAGTGGTGATATCTGAGCCTTTAGAAAAGTGTGGTTATACAAAGGAATTGAAAAGAATGATACTTTTTTAAATACATGTTCAGTTAAGTCTTGACTATGGTCTTAAAATAGTTAAAAAAGAAATACATCTCAGGCTTATCAGTTTCATGTTTGGAAAGACCCTGAAGTACAAATTTCTTAGTAACTGGCATCAGAGTGATACTTGGCTGCCCCTCCTGCTATGCTCTCTCCTATCTGACTCTTCCCAATTGGCCTTCTCTTCCTATCCGTGGCTTAACAGGAGCAGTGTAGAACCTTGCCATCCAGCCCATAATTTTTTATAGCCCTTTTTAAGTTGTTAAGTATTCTCTCTTGGGGTGGCAAAGTAGAAGTAGAATACCCCTTAGCGAGCTTATTCCTTTTGATTAGTTTGGATCCCAACTGCATTAACCTTGAGGAATGTTCATTTATAGGTCCTGAGTCTCTTCATCAGCCTTTTCATTTTGAAATGCCAGGTTATTTAAAAATTGAGCAAACCTCCTTCCATTTAACTTACACACAATGGCCCCAGGAAGAGAGATCTGGGGACCCACTACAGTCCTTATTAATTCCTTTCAGAACACAGAGAAGTCTAGTAAGTCTGAGGCAGACCATTTCATCTGAAAGTACACTCATTATCAGTCTTGAATATGTCACTTCAGGAATGTTTTAATTCTAAATAAGCTCTCCAAATCTTGTGTGCTAAGGTTTTCAAATCTAAGAAATAGAAATGGACATACTTAAGGACATTTATTTATTTACTTACTTAATTACTTATTGATGGGGTAGAATGATAATCCAAATCAAAACTTGGCTCCCTTTCCAAACCTTTTATATCAAACACTGCCTTGAATGTATATTTGACTTCTGTTCGAATAATGATTTTAGAAAAGGAGCTACATTTGAACAGAATAACTAGCCCTCAGAGTTCTGCTGACATGAGTGGGAAAGACATAGCAACTTAGCTTCTCAGATCAAAAATGAATACCAGCAGATCCTATTTGACACTGGTAAATGTTATCTTGAAATTATCAAGTTGGAAATAAAACTACTTTGCAGGAAGCTATATATTTAGTATCATGGCTGGGGCTTTCCAGTTTAGGAATCCTTATCATGTTCTGTTTTTTCTTGATAGCATGCTTTTACCATCTGCATGGATGTAATATGCATTTGGTATAGTGATTGTTTTGAGTATTGCTTGACTGTCTTGATACCTACAAGTGGTTAGCAGCCTGTCTTCCTAGTGCAGCTCAAGGAAGACAACTATGTGAAATAATAATATTAGATATAACTGGGGAAAAATAGCAATATACATAATTGCTTTCATCTTTTCTAAGATAAGGCATATATTGCTTGCTTACACAAGAACTATTGGCCTTTTCCTTTTTTTTTTTTTTCCTTTAAAACAAATATGTGGAAGCTATTTTGGTTTCAAGAAATTTTTGGCACCCAGGATAGAATCCACTGGCTTGTTTTTCTTACTCTTTCTTGTTTTATAAAGTTAATTCTTAAAACTCTGGGAATTTTTTAATAGGATAACTTGGTGATTTAGCTCTAACAGATCTGATAACATGTATTCATGTGTTTTTTCTAAAAGATTAGCTTTAGAAAATCACAAGTACTTTTATGTTGTAAAGCATATTAATGGCTGAATCAGCCTAAGTAACAAGTAAGATTTGGTTGGTTTTTTAGAATATTAGGACATTATGAATTGTTCCAGACCTACCAACTGAACTTTGATTCATTATCAAAGTTTGCAAAATTTCCCAAGCCCCTTAACATTTAGCACATTTGAGGATGTTCGTGATGCTGAAGATGCTTTACATAATTTGGACAGAAAATGGATTTGTGGACGTCAAATCGAAATACAGTTTGCACAGGGAGATCGAAAGAGTAAGTACCATTATGCCTAACATAAGTTTAAATCATTTCTAGAAAACCATTGTTGCAATTAATATATTCTGTTCCAACCCCAAAAGATCAAAAGTTGATCAATACTATCAACTGTGACATACTGGGAGTGAAATTGAGAAGGATAAAAATTTATAACATTTTGGATCTCTTGAGCCATTTTCTTCGWTGTAGAGATCTTCAAAGGGGGCTGAGGTTGTAGCTTAGTGGTAGAGTGCTTGCCTAGCACATGCAAGGCACTGGGTTTGATTCTCAGTACCAAAGGTATTTTGAAAAATGAAGCTTTAAAAAAAGATCTTCAAAGTATAATTGTTATGTGARTGCATGGCTACGGAAGTGAACTGATAGACTGGGAGGGGCTATCCAGATTAAACCTAGAATAGATCTTATTTTAGTATTCTGTTTTTATTATTATGGAAGGCATATACCAGGTTTTAGCTGTATTTCAATGAGGTAGGAGTATAGACTGGGGTGAAGTAGACTTCCTTGTGGCTGAACCATTATTTGATCCTGGAAAAGATACTAGAGGATACAGATTAAGGTAGCTGCTAAAGGGCTGAGGTTGTGGCTCAGTGGTAGAGTGCTAGCCTAGCATGCATGAAGCTCTGGGTTTGATCCTCAACACCACATAAAAATAAAAAAAAAAAAAGATATTGTGACTACCTAAAGCTGGAAGAAAAAAAAGCACTTAGGTAGTCATAAGTTGTTAATTCTCTTGTTCTGGAATGGGGTGATAGGTTCCTAGATAGTCCCTGKTTTTTATATATACATATACAATCATACATAAAGTTTCTATGTAGAATTGAGTGAGATAAGAGTTGAGGGCCGAAGATATAGGTATAAATAAGGCATAAGCCAAGGAAATTATGGTGTCATTTTTCCATAAAGTAGTCTTGTGATACACATCTTTGAAAATAAATACCCAAGATTAATATTTATAACCTTGACCAAACCCCAAGAAAGAAAAAAAGGCTCCATCAGTCATCTTTCAGATCTGCATCTTACCAAAACTAAAGGGATCTCTAAGACAGATTGCAAAACACATTATTCCTTTGTTTTGGTATTAGAGAAGGGAATGTGGGCTTGTTTTTTCCCCCCCTACAATTTAAGGATGTAAATAATAAATTTCAAATGTTTCTGAATATTTGTGTTCTGTGTATTTCCTAGCACCAAATCAAATGAAAGCCAAGGAAGGGAGGAATGTGTACAGTTCTTCGCGCTATGATGATTATGACAGATACAGACGTTCTAGAAGCCGAAGTTATGAAAGGAGGAGATCAAGAAGTCGGTCTTTTGATTACAACTATAGAAGATCTTATAGTCCTAGAAAGTAAGTTTGTACAGTGATCTGTTTTTAATAAAAAGATGTGTTCGTGGTCAGGAATGGGGGCATGGACCTGTAGTCCCACCTACTGGGGAGGCTGAGGCAGTTGGATTGCTTGAATACAGAAGTTCAAGGCCATCCTGGGCAATATAATGAGATCCTGTCTCAGAAACAAAGAGGGTGTGTTCGTTAGCATTTTTATCTTTTTGTATGCTTTATGTGTTGAGTACTTTGTTGAGACTAAAATAGTGTTTTGATTGAAAAGTTTTAAGACCTATAAGTAGACATTTGTCACTGTTTGCTTTTTCTGATATGCTTTTTAGCAGTAGACCGACTGGAAGACCACGGCGTAGCAGAAGCCATTCCGACAATGATAGGTAAATAACTTTGCTTTGAAAAAAGACTCATGTTTTTCAATTCAGAGTGAACTTTTGCTCTAAAAATAACAAATTTGATTAATATAGAATCTAATTTTTACTCTAATTGTATCTCTCCTCTGTTTTGAAAGATTCAAACACCGAAATCGATCTTTTTCAAGATCTAAATCCAATTCAAGATCACGGTCCAAGTCCCAGCCCAAGAAAGAAATGAAGGCTAAATCACGTTCTAGGTCTGCATCTCACACCAAAACTAGAGGCACTTCTAAAACAGATTCCAAAACACATTATAAGTCTGGCTCAAGATATGAAAAGGAATCAAGGAAAAAAGAACCACCTAGATCCAAATCTCAGTCAAGATCACAGTCTAGGTCTAGGTCAAAATCTAGATCAAGGTCTTGGACTAGTCCTAAGTCCAGTGGCCACTGATAGTATAAACCATGATAATTTTTAGGCATGTATCATTCATTTACTCATAGTTTGGTATACTTAAATTATCAGGAATACAATGTTGCAATGATGCGTAAAAAAACACTTGTTAGTTTTCCCTGTACCAGGCAATGGTTATAATTAAAATGATATGCTGTTGAGAAGCCACTCTTAAGAGTCCAGTTTGTTTAATGTTATGGGCAGCTACCAATTTGTGGTGTCTCTGTATATTTTTGTAAAGATTCTCATTTTTTTATGCTTGAAGTATTTGGTGGAAAGATGTTGGTTGACCATAATTTGCAACATTGTCTTATTAAAAATAAACTTTCATATCCATATTTGGTAGAACTGTTAACCTAGAAATGTAGCTTGCTAATAAGATGGAATGATACAAAAGTGAAGTTGTAGCCACAGTACAACACTGACTGCTCAGACACATTTAGGTTCAGGGTGGACCTTTATGTCTTGTCAAGATGTCTAGGCCCGTGATAATAGTTTATTTATGATACAGTGTGGAATAGTTCTTTT